GGTCTGCAGGCCCGGGAATAGCCCTCAGTTTCAGGCTGAAAAGGCTCAGGCCTTTTTTTGGCTAAAACGATGCAGGTCCTGTGGGCCCCGGATGTCCGGCTTTTGGGCTGAACCGTCCTGAGGTCTACAGGCCCTTATTTCCAGGCCTTGAGCTTGAAATTCAGGCTTCAAGCCTGAACGACGCAGGGCCTGAAAAATGGCCCTCGTGTGCAGGCGCAGCATGTAACATCCCCCCCCCCCTTATGAAGTCAAGCCGGGTCGGGGGCGCAGCCGACGATCTGAAGTTGGAACCTGGACGCAGTTGCGGCGTGGAGCCGAAGATGCCGGCTTGCCTTGCATCTTTCGTTCATACCGTACGAGAACATCTGGAGCTGTCGCTTGGAGTTCCGCACGGGTCAACCAGCGGTCGGCTCGGTGGGTGCAATATGCAAAGTGTACCAGATACTCAGTCGGCTTGTTGCCGTAGCGTCGCTGGGAAATGATGTCACCGACCTCCTGAAAGTCGTCCATAGAGGGTGGGTCTTGAGATCGTCGCCCAGGAAAGTCATCCTGGTCTGCTGGTGTGTACAGCGCCAACTTGGAGCAATGGAAAATCGGGTAGACGGGCAAGTGGGCGGGCACCTGAACTGTGAAGGACGGTCCCTCAGGTGCATCCCCAGCAAGTGCTACAATCGACCATGGGCCCATCCATTTTGGGAGGACCTTGCGAGAGATATCTTGCTCAAGGCTGAATTCCGCGATGGAAACCCACACGAGGTCGCTGGCGCGAACTGGACAAGTAAGACGCTGGCGATTGGCCTGCTGGCTCATGCGTTGCTGCGTCTTTGCCATCTGATTGCGTGCCTTGACAAGAAGTTCTTGCATCCGGCGCAAGAAAAGGAGATGGTCGTCGCTCTCAGCCGTGCCTGGAACGATGGTGTCCAGCGGAGAAGTGACCGGAAAGCCATGCTCAAACTCGAAAGGTGACATCCCGATAGTCGGGTGGATGGACGAATTAAAGGCCAATTCGACATCCGGCAGCCGCTCAACCCAATCCTTCTGATCGGGACGGATRAGARTGCGAAGAAGAACCTGTGCCGTCTGGTGCGCCCTCTCCGTCTGGCCATCCGTCTGAGGGTGGCGAGCTGAACTAGGCTTGAGAGATGAGCCCCATCGTTTGGTGAGTGCCAACMAAAWATCAGACATGAACCGAGTGTCGCGGTCGCAGACGATTTCCTTGGGGTAACCCTTGGTTCGAATCCAACCGGCKTAGAGAACCTCGRCCAATTCTGGTGCCTTGGCATGATAGMGACAAGGCAAAAACATGGCAAACRTGGTGAGTCGATCGACTACCGTGCGAATCCCATCCACACCGGTCTTGTGCTTGGGGAATGGTCCAGTGATATCCATGGCAATCGCCTCCCRTCGGCGCAAGGGAACCGGTAGTGGTCGCAACTCGCCATACGGACGATGATTGCGGGATTTGCAACGCCGACAAATCTCGCATGACTCGCAGTAGCGTGTGACGTCGTCGAGAAGACCGGGCCACCAAAATCGCTCGCGAAGTCGGCCAATCGTTCGATTGACGTCAAAATGTCCGGTGGCGGGAGCATCGTGGAACTCGCCACGAAGCCGCGTACACAAGTAAGGGTCATTCGGTACGCAAAGAAGATCCTTTCCCCGCGAGTGGACGAGCAAATATCCCTCCTGGATCCGGTAGTGAGAAGGTGCCGGATTGGGTGAGGAACAATTCGCATACTTGTCGCGAAACTCGGGGTCAGCCTGGTAGCCGCGGATGAAACTGTCTCGCAAGTCGTCATCAATCTCGAACGTCGAGTAGACCGCGGTGCAATGGTCCGGACGCCGTGAGAGAGCATCCGCAAAACGGTTCGACTTGCCCGGAATGTGATCGGGGAAAAAGTCAAAATGGTCAATGAAGGCCATCCAGCGGGCAATGGTGCTGTTGACTGTGTCTTGGGTCTTGTAAAAGACCAACGGGTTGTTGTCCGTTACCCATCGGAACTGCCGTCGACCAAGAAGGAAATGTCGCCAGTGCTAGAGTGCGTGTACGAATGCCAATAACTCCTTCTTTCGTGCATCATCAATAGAGTGCACGRCGGACACTTTCTTGCTGAAATACTCGACCGGGTGCCAGTCCACGCCATCAAGTTATTCGAGGACTGCACCAATGCCATAGTCGGATGCATCTCTAGTGACGCGTGTGGGCAATAGCGGGTCGTAGATCCGCAAGACCTCCGCTGACAAAAGTGCAGCTTTAAGAGCCAAGAAGGATTCCCGCGCATCCTCGTCGAAGTCAAACGGTCGATCCTCGCATTGAAGCTTGGTCAAATGGGCCGCGATCTTCGAATAGCCCTTGATGAAGCGCTGATAGTAGCCGGCAAGACCAAGAAACGAACGGACATCCGTGACGTTACGCGGCTCCGGCCACTTCTGGATGGCTTGCATTTTCTCCGATAGGGGGCTGATGCCCACCAATGTGACAAAATGGCCCAAGTACTCAAGCTCTTGCCGGACGAACTCACACTTGTCGCGGTTGGGTATGTACTTGGCACGGTGGAGCGTCTTCAACACTCGTCGAAGATGCTCAAGATGATCCTCCAAGGTCCGACTATAGACGAGAATGTCGTCTAAGTAGACCAGCACAAACCGATCCARCATCACACGAAACTCATTGGTCATTGCCGCTTGGAAGGTTGTCGGGGCATTGGTGAGGCCAAAAGGCATGACCACCCACTCAAAATGCCCATACCGTGTCTTGCATGCGGTTTTGTAGCAATCATTCGGGCGTATCGAAATTTGATGATACCCCGACTTCAAGTCAAACTTGGAAAAAAACTTAGCACCGCCCAATCGCTCAAGAAGGTCGTCGATACGAGGAAGAGGCCCCACATTCTTCACAGTTTGCGCGTTGAGCTTGCGGTAGTCGATGCACAGACGTAGATCCTTGTTCTTCTTCCTTACGAAGAGAACCGGTGCTCCATATGGGGAGCTGCTAGGGCGGATCCATCCCTTGGCCAACAAGTCGTCGAGTTGTGCGCAAAGGACCTCCAGTTCCTCCTCGCTCATCCGATAGATGCAACCTTTCGGAGGCACGGCACCGGCCTCAAGAATGATCTCGTGAGAGATCGGCCGATCCGGCACCACACCGGTAGGTGACTCGAAGATGTCGGCGAACTCGTCAAGCAGCCGTACCACACGGGGGTCCGAAGACAAGTCCGATGGTGAAGAGTCGGCTACCGCGATGGTCCGCAAGAAACATAGGCCTATCTCGTCGGGTTGCTCATATGCACTAGTAGCACGAAACGATTTGGCCGTCACGACTTGGCACCGGATCGAAGGGTGCGGAAGAGGAATAGTACACGGCACCTCGGCACCGATGGCGTCATGAACGGTGAGAGTCCGCTGGTGAAAGTTGACCGTGTGATCCGCACTTGCGAGCCAAGGCATTCCCAGGATGATATCGAAGTCCGTGTCCAAGATGTCGAACATGACCGGTTTGCATGCATGAGGTGCGAAGTACACCGGTACAGCCTCGATGTAACGATCGAGAAGTTGCTGCGTCTTTCCATTCGCCAACTTGATCGCCGTCGGGTTTGCCTTCCTTCGAACCTGCGCGCCGAGGCCAGCCCTTTGCATAAAGGCTTGGCTCATGAAGTTGCGAGTCGCGCCGCTATCTAGCAAAGCACTACAGGACGCTTGCCCAACTTGGATGCGGACATACATCAGCGGTGCGTTATTGTCGTCGTACCGCTGCGTGCGAAACTCGCGGGCCACCTTGGTAACATATGCCAAGATGTCCCCCACCACGACCTCGTCAATCCATAGGCGAAGTTGGTGGTGCATAGAAGGACAAGTACTTGTGACGATGTGCGCAGAGTGCTGCGCATTGCGGTCCCGGCAAGCGGCCCGTGGTCGGGAGAGGAAGCTATGCGAAATCCTCAGGCGTGAGCGGGTTCAATTCCTCTATGTTGAACTCGCGCGCCAAATCCCGTGAAGAACCACTTGAAGACGAAGAAAAACCGCTGTCGGACGGAGAAGATGCCGCACACACGTCTTGTCCTTGAGCAAAAGATCCCAGCGTCGGAACGAGCCGGGCAGCATAGTCCTCAAAAGAATAGAGAAGAGGACTATCGACTTCCGCATGCGCCCCGGAATGAAGGCCGGTCACTCACGAAGAAACCGGGTCCGAAGGCGTCGAGAGTGTCGTCGACGCACTCTCGACGGCGCTCAGTTTCCCTGGTTGCCCTTCCCCTTGGTAGGGCAGCCCGCTGTCTCGTGGCAGTCGCTGTTGCACCACAAGCAGTAACGATATTTCGTGCGTTGCTTGTAAGCTTGCTCCGAAAGACCGTAAGGGGTCCAGGGCCCCTCAGCTATTGCGCCGGGCCCGGGGTTTGATGTGGTGTTTGTCTTTGATTTGCCGCGTCCTCGGCCTCGGCCGGGGCGGCCACCATGCCGGGCAGCTGCGAGTCTGTCTCCTTCATTGGCAGACTCCGCCTCGCTAGATTGGCTGCTTGGCGATGCCGCCTCAATCACGGCCACCTTGGGCCTATGCGGATCCTTGCTCGTGCGTGCCGCAGCACGAGTGAGGTTCGTCGTCTCCTTGTTTGTGATGATAATCTGTGCGGCCTTATCGAACAGTTGCGCCGTCGTCGTCAGTGTGTCCTCAACATGCGTCAAGGCGTTGCTCAATGTCGGGCACGACCTTGAAATGAAGTAGTGCTTGATGGCTTTGAAGCCCATCGGGAGACCTGGGACGGATGTCAAGCGTTGGTACTCGGCAATCCAGTCGATGCTTGGCAGCGAGCCTTGCTCGAAGGTCATRAGCTTGTCCATGGCCTTGATCTCCGGCGGCTCCACTTGGAACCGCTTGTGCCACGCCGCCTTGAGGTCTTCCCAGCTGATCTTCGTGTGTAACTCGGCAGCGACCACCCCGTACTGGGACAAAAGATTGTCCAGCCATGCCTGGCATGCGCCTCCCGACCGGAAGTATAAGTACGCGTGGTGCTTGCATTCGCTGACGAGRTGCAGCTGCAACGTGAGTTCAAACTTGCGAAACCACTGAACTAGATCCATATTTGTTGAATCGCAGTAGATCTCCTGACCATCAAACTTGGGAGTTGACTCGCGCTGTTATGAACTCGGGCTGGCGGCGGCAGCACACACCCGCTGCTCCAATTATTGAGTAGCGGTTTGTTGTAGTCGTGCGCCGTCCTTAAGTGCGCTGACGTCAGTCTCCAATGCGTTGAGGCGGTCTGATGTGTTGGAGGAGCTTGCCACAGGGGCGGCGGCGGGTCGTTGCTCCAGCTGCTGTACGCGGCTGCGAACACTCTTGACTTCGACATTGAGGCTGTGAATGTCCTCCTGCTGCGCGATGCATGTCGCGAGGAGGTCCGTGAGATGGGAAAGGAGGAGGGCAATCTTGTTCTCGCTCTCCTCCATCTTCCCTGTCTCCGCCTCAGTTCGCCATTCCACTGCCAATGTGAGTAATGCTCGCTCCCCGCTGAAAATCTTCTCACGCCACTTCAATCGTTCTTCATCTGCAGCCTTCGCTGCTGCCTTGGCCTGCAAACGCTGCTGTTCAAGAGCTAGCAGTCGTGCCTGCTCGGCATCCTCCGCCTTCTTCTTCTCTGCGGCTGCTAATGCATCCGCCCGCTGCTTGGCTTCTATGATCAAAGCCAGCATGCGGTCCTGATATGCCTCCGCCGTTTCCCCCAGTTTCTGGCCCATAATGGCTGTCTGCGAGCGAGTCAGCATAAACAGGCCCGGGTGGCTGACGTTGCACTCCCTGTTGACGTGGCCTGCTGACGTGGTCTGCTGATGTGGTCTGCTGACGTGGTCTGCTGACGTGTCCTGCTGACGTGGTCTGCTGACGTGGCCCGCTGATGTGGCAACTTACCAACGCCACCACAGGGAATATCCGTAATGGATGAAGAAGATGAGATCAGAGGTGGCAAACAACGTAGATAGGGAGGGTGGCTGGGGTAGATCGCCCAGATAAGGAGCCGCTAATCAAAACAGAAAAGTTTGAACTTTGCAAGGGGACGGAAAAAAAAAAAGAGAAAAATATTTGTTTGCAAGTTCAGCAAGCTCCCCCAATCCCCGAACTACGAGATACAACTGAAAACATTTCGACTTCCAAACTGCAAATGATTACAAAAAAAGATTCGGATTCGCTTTAATAAGAGTATGCGCAGCTGACGTAGTCTGCTGATGTGGTCTGCTGACGTGGTCTGCTGACGTGTCCTGCTGACGTGGTCTGCTGACGTGGCCCGCTGACGTGGCAACTTACCAACGCCACCACAGGGAATACCCGGAATGGATGAAAAAGATGAGATCAGAGGTGGCAAACAACGTAGATAGGGAGGGTGGGTGGGGTAGATCGCCCAGATAAGGAGCCGCTAATCAAAACAGAAAAGTTTGAACTTTGCAAGGGGACGGAAAAAAAAAAAAGAAAAATATTTCTTTGCAAGCAAGCTCCCCCAATCCCCGAACTACGAGATACAACTGAAAACATTTCGACTTCCAACGAGTTGTGCTACTGCGATTTTTCCACAATAAAAAATCATGGAAAAACGAAATCCAGAATTTTTTTTTTGATTTTTGGCAGTTGGGTCAAAATCGTGATTTTGGGGATTAACTAGTGTGCTCAACCCACCAATAAGTCAGTCGAGTCTTCTTCACCAGCTAACTCCCCGTACACGTGTCAGATCAGGTAGTCCTGATTCACGTGCGCAGCTCCGATACCAACTGTTACATGCCAAGTTGGGCTATGTATTCAGCCAAGGATCCGCAATGTGATGAAAAGGACTGAATCGATAATGTACTGTTAGTGAAACATCAACAGACAATGTACATCCCGATACATAAAAACTGACATTTGATAGCACAGCGGAAGACTTTGAGATAAGTCCTGACCTGACCTGGACTGTTACGACATCCCATCATACATCACACATGTGGGAGGGAGAGGAGGGACCGCATGCATAGACGAAGGTCCCTCCTGCATACACACATGGGGAGATACCACG